GCGATGGAGGGAAGCGGAGACAGCCGAGGGATGCGGAGTCGCCATGTTTTACCTCAGGATGACGGCGGGCAGGGCCGGAGCGGGGCTTTTCTCTGTCACAGAGGTGCTCCCGCCATAGAGGGAGCGGAGCTGCGGGCTCGCAGTGGGCGCTGTCTCGCCATAGTTGGGCGGGAAAGCCCACAGGCGAGTGGTTTCTTAGGAAAAAACCCAAACCCAACACCAACTCTTAGAGAAACAGCCAAGGAAGTGTCCTGGGCTGCAGGTGATACCTTCTCCCATGGATCCGGAACCATTCCTGTATATTCCCCTGTGCAGTTTTGAAGTTCAGCAGCGTACTTGGTTTTGTCAGGAAATAACTTGCGCTTTCAAAACTTTCCCTATACTGTTCCTCGTGCAGGAGCAAACATTAAGCTCGCATGCAAGAGAAACTGTTTCTGGAAAATAAAAACTTTTTTAAACAGGTGAGTTTAAAGCAAAACAATGCGGACCAGTGCAGTATTCATACATGCATGTAGAAAGGTTGTTAGTAGATCTCAGACTAACGACAGGGAATAAAACTCTCAGGATTATGACAATTTTGTGTTTGTGTTGATTTCAGGGGAGAAAAAAAAAGTAAAATGTTTGTATTCTTTTTAGCTTGGGCATGCAAGCTCCACCGAATTGTTAATTTAGTTTGAAGTAATAGTTTTAACAAACAGTCATAGTTTTAACAAATTATTTTTGAAAAGATAATACCTTTTAGTAGTATTTCTGGAATAAAGTCTTACTATTTTCAAATAATTTTATAGTCCAATGTTGTCATGTTTCTTACATCTTATTTACAATTTTGAAAAGATGTAAGAAAAAACAGTTTTGAAAAGCTGCTTCCAGCCTTAGTTGGATCATTGCAAGTGAACAAAAAGCTTCAGAGTGGACAAAGAATCTCCACAGGACAACTGAAAGGTCCTGAGTCTTTTACTGTCAAATGATGAAGGCAAATAGATAACTTCCAAATGGGTAAAGTTTTAAATCTGCTACCGGTATACATCTACTTGGTCAAGATGTTAAAAGAGGAGACTTAAGAAGTTTAATTCCAGAGAAAGAAAAATAGGAATGTTTGCTAAATGATTGCTCAAAAATATTAAGATAATTGTAATGTTCTTCCATATATTCAAATTTCTAAACATTTCACTGGAAATATTCCAGAACATTTTGTTATCTCCTGCCTCCAAGGACACAGCAAATGTCCTACTGTTATATTAAAAAACACAGACCCACAAATTGGTGATATATAGGAGTTGTATTAAAATATAATTTTTAAAAGGTGTAAAATGGCATATTCTTTAAAAGTAGCATGCAAAAACAAGTAAAGATTTTTGTGGGAATGCTTCCAAATGTGAGTCTAAGCTTGGGCTTTTGACATAGAACTAGTGATACGCTTGCCTTGGTTTTTCCTCTGTTTCAGGTCTCCAGAAGCAGTGTTAATTTGCTGCTCGAGCTCAGTTGCTGAGTTCAATGTGCTTTTGTTTCAAAAGCTGTTACTCAACATGGAGCCAAAGTGGGAGCCACATGATGTTGTTTTAAAACTTGCATAGTTACCAAAAACATATTTTTACAGCAGCTTGGAATATGAAAGAACTTTTCACTGCAATATGAAACCTCCTGTTACCTATACACATAATTCATCGCGGTTGTCTGGCAGCTGTGAGGTGGCAAAATGGTAGGTGCAGGAACCTTACAGATGGTGGGAAGCAGAGGGCTGAAGCAGTGAGGAGTAGCACGTGTTGCATCTTTCCAACAACTCTCTTACCCAGAGTGTGACCAAAGTAGGGACTGCGATGAAAATTCAAGCTAAATAGAGGAGAGGAACTGTGATCTTCTGTTTAGGACCCAGGTTTAGTGCTGTGGACTTGGGACTTGCCTGTTCTGGGAGGAATTGTTTTCCTCTTAGTGTGTTAAGTGGATAAAATATTCCTGCAGTAGCCAGTACAGAAAAGCAGGCAGCTCCCAGTTCAGAGCAGTTTGAGCCAGGCAGTCCAGACACCCTCCCTTACAGCTGGTGCTAGTTTTCTGGTATTTTTCAAGAAAATATTCAGTAGCCCAGGATGCCCTGTGTTGTGTGCTACAAAGGTGAGAGGTGATCATCTCGAACATTCTTGCTTGCCATTGTGCAAGCTGAAATTAGGAGCGTTTTCAGTCGTAGCAGCATAGGCCTGGAAGGGACCTAGCGCAACACCTTGCACTGAGGCACCCATTCCTAGCAACTGTCTTCTCAAAGCTGTTTCCTTCCTGCTTTCCTCAAAGATGCTATTTTAAATTGTCTTTTTATCACACTTTTTGTTCTCCACCTTTCCCTCTACAACTTTCAGAAAGGATAGCAATCACGACTGGAGTTTTGCAGAATATATTTTAAATATGAGGACTAACCCTGGAAATACTCTGTGTTGCCAAATCTAACTTCTTTCATGATGCTGTATAAAATACTCTATTGGTTCCTTTTTCCTGATTGTGTTAATTCTACTGTGGATCTTCCCTGAATTTAAGGATGTTTTAGGAGCCTCGATTCAGTCAGATGAAATCCTACAATATGACGAAGGTTGTAGTAATTGTTGTGGGGATGTAGCCTGATTTAGGTAAATGCTGTTTTCCATACGAATAAGACAAGATATTACAGGTAATTAGAGCACTTCTGTTTTGCCTTCCCTTTACTACAAATACCTATGCAACAAGTCTAGAGCAAAACCCACTTGCACTAGCTATATAAATCTAAATATAGCATCATAGCCTAGTGCGTAGCATGATAGAAAATAGCATTACAAGTCTAAGATTTCTCTAAATACAGAACGTGGTATGTGATCGGAAGTTTCAGCTGTTTCCAACATGCCTTGGGAGGTATTAGAATGCCAGGATATTTCATGACAGAAAAGTTCAGCCTCTTTTTCCCAGGCAAAGTTGTTGCATTGAACAGTGGCTCTGAAGTTCTCCCTGTGGATAAACAGGTGCTTTCTGTATGCCAGTAATCCTAGACAATTCTTTTAATCTCGATCTGACAGCTGATACTTTGAGAATCTGTCCTATTTGCTCATAACATTTTTCCATAGATGTGAGTGAGCAGATGCTAGACACTTTTATATCTGTTCGTCTGCTCTGGTGTAAGTGCTCATTAGACAAAGTCAGAATCTGTGGGGTTTTTAGCAATATTGGCACAGAAAGGTAGCATATTATAGAGTATCTTTTAACACCTGTTGCCAAGTGACAGTGCACGTTTTTAAATGTCAACAAGGCTAGGGTGAAAATGCAGGTCACATGTTAAGAAAATAATGTCTACTCTAGTTCAATCTATGTAAATGAAAGACAAATCAGAGAAGTGTTTCCAGGCAGTTAACAGACTTTACACTAAAAGTGTGTTTCGTTGAACAGTAAGCCTAGGATTGGTAATGTGCACTGTACTATTTCAGAGCCTGAACTAGTCAAAAGGTAGGAGGATGCTATTTTTCAAAGGTGGGGCTTAATCACTGCTAGCGTTTTTCCTTTGATAACTCTACACAGAAGTTTTTGGAGTTACATTACAATATCAAAAGATTTGAAGACTTCCTGTGAGGTTTTTGCCATGTTAATCTAAGCGTTTTAAAAGCAGAGGAGAAAGCAACTGCTAAGTACGTGTCCAGCAAAAAAAGTGCTTAGTCCTTCAATGCAAACTTACACACTTCTGGTACTATTCTAGTGGCTTAAACAATACAAACCACACCTGGGTTTTTTGTCTTAGGATTTTAATGTCCTAGGAGAAGGGTTATTTTCTTGTTTTGGATCAGTCATTATAAGGTTTTCTCAAAGATTAATGGATTTTTTTGAGTCTTATGTAAAGAATTGACTGTGGAAATTAAGAAATGAAAAATGAGACCAAAATGATCAATCCATTCAGAGTGAGACCAGAACTCAACTGTTCAGTCAGTCAGTCAGCTTGTGTTACTGATGGGTTACAGCTTCAGTGGGCTGTAATGGATGTGGTCCCTTGCTTTCTGGAGTACTGGGGGAGAACGGGCATTTTGGAGTAGAGGGCGTTAGGTTACAAAACTGTGGGATGTCAAGCTTTAATAATTTTAGTGCTCTCAGGAAAATGATTCACTATAATAATACTAAACAGGGTAGATCTGGTTTTTGTAGTTTTACCTGACGATGACTTATTGGATTCTCATGTGACCTGTGGAAATTGGGCCCCTTAGCTGAAGCAAAGTAGTTAGTTACATTTTTCCTAAAAACATTTTTTTTCCTCCCATCTTTTACTTGGGGGATATAAATTAAACAGCAGCTAATCCATTTTGTTTTACAGATTTAGTAATCCTACCAGTTCTTCCATCATCTTTAAAGTTCTCTGCAAAAACAGAGTAGAGATGATTTTTTCTGAAGGTTGGGAGCAAATTTTTTCTTAAGTAACAAGGAACAGAGATGACTAGACTGACGTTATACTGTCCCTTCCTTTGTAAGTTACTTCTAGAGACAGTTTAAGGAAGCTTTTAGGGATCTGATTTATTCAAGGATGATACTTTAGAGCTTTTCAGCCTTTGCATTTCAGGATCTTCATTTTGTCAATCTCCTGGTCTTATACACCCTCCTATTTGTATCTCAGGAGCTCCAGACTATGAACCAAAATGTGGCTGGCCCCATGGAGTCCAAATGGATCAGGATGGTAACTTGATTGTGGTGGACTCTTACTCAGGCCTGTACAAAGTCAGTCCAAGGACAGGAGAGAAAACCCTCCTGCTATCAGGTGAAAAAGGTGATACTACAGTTAGTGGGGAAGTAGGTTGGTCTTGGGTTTGGTCCTCATGCTTATGTGTAAAGTGGAAGATCATGGCACTTTAAGCAGTTGAGATCCGTACTAGTGAGTGTGGGGACTGGGGCTGACTGAAAGCCTGCTGGCTTTATATTTTTAAGATTTCTTTCAAAAATAGAAGAAAACAAAAGCAATTATATTTGTCAGGCACTTTTGGTTTGGTATGTGTTATGTTGAGCTGCAACCTGAACACATTTCCCTGCAAATGAAAGTAATTTGGGGCTTGGACTTTAGCTTGGGACAAATTAAGGATAGTGATAGCATTAGCTATGAGATTTGGGACTGCAGTGTCTGAAATCTTAAGCTTATGTGGATCTGAATAATTTTGAATGCTTGGTGGTTTTTGCTTATATTAATCAGTAGTCATTTTTATTAACCAGGTGTGGATGGGCTGCCTTTCAAATTCCTAAGTGGATTAGAAATATCAAAGAAAAAATGGATTTATTTTACAGATTCAAGTAGCAAGTGGGAAAGACGACATCACAAATATGAGGTGAGATGAGGTAGTCTTTGCAGCCATTTGCTCAGGCAGGTTAAGTGTTAATTTTTGTGCTGGCAGCACTGTGTATTAGGCTGCAGAAGAGACAGAGTTTGTTTCGATTATGCTTGTGTGTTTCAGCCAAGCATGCTATGAGCGCAGCCTGTTCGAGCTCTGAGGCAGAGGATGGGCTGTGCTATTCTGTAGCTGCTCTTCTGGGCGGGGGGGGGAGAAACCTCCGGGTATGACTACCCCAAAAAAATCATTACGTGATACACCAAAGTCTGGATTTTTTCAGCACGTTAGTTTCTCCCTGGTGTCTGTCTATAAGCGTGCTCTTATACCACAGTAAATGCAAGGTAGCAAATTGCTGGTGTACTTGGGGGTATCTTTTCTGTCTAGTCATAGCCTTTGAGTAAAACTTTATCTAGAACAAACTGTCTGTTTGTAAAGCTGAAATTCAGTGAGGTCACAGACATAAAGTTTACACCGAGTCTTATCTTTACTACTTAAACTGTGGATAAAATTAAGCAAGGAGAAAAAAAATCACATGAAGGGAAATACATTTAATTTAAGGGGTGGGAATCAAGATCCAACTTATTAAAGGGGAAAACCAAAAAGACTAGTTGAAATCTCTTGTGTGTCGCTGTTTCTTAAAGCTATCAATCAGAATTATTGTTTGGCAGTACCTCATCTTTGCCATTTAGTATTTCAGACTGAACAAGGAGTTCCAGTACAAATGACAAACATAAAGGCAGTTTCCTCTTCACCGGGCTTATGTTTATATAATTCAAAGCTGCCTTGCAGATTTTTAGCAGGAGAAACTCAAATTATTTCATATCCGAAGTAAAACGTCAGCTGTTTACTTGCTTTAGCAAAACACTTGTGAATGCTTTCCGATTTGATTTGAAGAAGTTGTAATTCTTCACAGAAGCCTGATAGGCCTCAATATTTTGCTAAAGCAGGAACTGCAGAATAACATATTTTGAATTCTGGGCTTTATAACCCCCATGTTCCTCTGTTTTTGCAAGAATGCTGTGATCAGCCTAGGAAATGACAAACGGAATCCTTTAGTGGTGCGAGCTTCTTATTTTTGTAAAGATGCCATCTGCCATTCTGTAAAGTCTGCTTTTATCTAATTCATGTCAATACAACTTCTGAGTATTTTCTGTTCTAATTGAAACCAGGTATTTTGGTAGCCTAGTTTTTCATTAGATGTACTGATTAAGGTAATGGAAATAAACCGTCTTGGTCGCCTCTTGGCCTATGACCCTGTAACAAGAAGAGGAAGGACAGTGCTCAGTGGCTTGTACATGGCAAATGGGATTGCCCTGTCTCCCCGTGAAGATTACATGTTAATAGCAGAAACCAGCATATGCAGAATCATACAGTATGTTAAACATCATCCTCCACCTAGATATAAAATATTACATGTTAGTTTATACTACATGTTTTTAATCAATTATTTGTAGACAGGATTTTCATGTTTATATTTTTCTGGTTTTCCTTTTTTAAAAATGTAAACTGAAGATGTGCAGTTAAAACAGGGTTGCTATTGGAAACTTACTTAGTCTAAATTGTCTTTTTTCTATTGCGAGAGTCACAGGCTTTAGATAATTCTAGGTAGAGCTTAACAGTTGCTTTTTCCACTGACAAATGTTTTTTATACCAATTTACTGATATATTGGGCCCTAATTCCCTCAGACTCATTTACAGTTATCCTGATGACTCCATTATTGCAGTTACAACAGACTCCAGAGGACAAGTGTCCTGATTATGATTAGCATAACACCCCATTTTTCCTATTTTAAAGGGAGTCAGTGTTTTAACAGTTTTTTATTTCATGGAAGTTCTAAAGCCAAATTTAATATTACTTTTCATTTAACAGGCAGATTTTGTATGAATAGATTTAAAAAATAGAATGGGGGAGGGTACACATAGAAAGAAGAGTTTTTTGAGCAATCTTCATTACTCAAGTTTAATCCCTCTTTGCATTTACTATTTCCTGCATAGTCCTTTCTGTATTTTGAAAAATCCCTTACACAAATCAAGATGATAGATCCTCCATGCTGTTAAGCTTGCTCTATTTTGCAGCAGCCACTATAACTCATATACAAAATTCCCTTTTTGCAGCTATTGAGTGAGTGGAGCTAATACAGGGGAAAAAAGAAGTTGTGGACAACCTGCCTGGGTATCCAGACAACATCAGATTATCAAACATCATAGGCTTATACAGAGTTGGAATATCTACTACTCACTTTCCTACTTTCTTTTCTCCTTTTCTGGATGCCTCAGGACCATATCCATTCCTGAAGAGATTTATTGCAAAGGTAACTTTAATACTACAGTGTCAACTATGGGTGTCACAAAAATGTTGATTTTTTTAAGTATGAAAGAACTTGTTATTCTTCATCGGGAAATGCAAGAGACAACTGCTTCATCTTTACCAGACAGCATGCTAACACATACTAACTTTGATTTTTCTGGAACATTTGAGGAGTGGTTTCTTTTTTCCATATTAAAACACAGCTGTTTTACTGCTGTGGTAATACTGAGAACCCATTTATAAAGTAGGAAAATCAGTACTGGCAAAAGTAGTCCAGAGTTGCAAGCTCTCAGCCATTTGTAGCAATGTGATATTGTCAAGGCAGGTGAAGAACCCTTTACACAAAATATGAGGGTTTTGCTATAGGAATCAAACTCTGCAAAGGTGTTCTTGCCAAGGAAGAGTCACAGAGCTGGTTACAATCAACCATGCTACTTTTTCTAGGAACCATGCTGCCTTTTCCTTAGACCTTGCACAAGAAACACACTGAAGTGGGTGATTCAGTGGTGTTCCATCAAGTCCTCCTTATTCCCGTTTTTAGAAAATGGGGCTTTTGGCTGTTTGGAATAAATTCAAACACACCTTCTTGAGCAAGCAGGCACTGACTGTACTTTAAGATTAGCAAGTGATTACTGGACTGCCAGCTTTAGACACAGTCTGGTGGATATTATCAAAAGGCCAAGTGACAGCTGAACCCAACTAGAGCAACATCTGGAAAGGAAGAGATTAGCATTGCCTTTTCTTTCTAATCATACACTTCCCCCCACACCCTTGAATGAAGTGGTAACACTGTGTGTTTCTTTTTCTAAAACAGGTGACTCCTTTATCATTCTACAGCATTTTTCTTCACAAACATGGCTTATTCTTAGAAATTAACAACAAAGGAGACAGTGTGGCAAGCTTCCACAACCCTGACGGTAGCATCACTTGGGCTGTCGGTGGCATCTTTGAGCACAATGGGAAGGTGGATCTAGGCACTACAGAGCTGCCTTTTCTCATGGTGCTACAGTAAATTTTATAGTTTTCATAAGCTGGAGCATCAAAAGGAGAACAGCAGTGTTGTTTCAACCAGCCATTAAATATTTTTCTCTACTTCATGGAGGACTGCTACATCACTGAAGGAGAAACAAAACTGGTACCACATGGTTAAGCAGAAATGAAAACACAATGCAGAAGCACTTTTTTTAGAAGCTTATGAAAGCCTCAGACTTAAATAGGTTAAAGGTACCAAATCACTTTGCTCTATAGTTCAGAGAAGAGTTATGTATATGTTTTTAAACAGTTGCACAGAATCATCCAAGGAATTCAACCCCGTAACAGGGATTGAGGTAAGTAGCACATATCTTATTGTTCCTCAGTTCCCATTTTAGAAACAGCCTTATGTAGGATTTTATTCTTCCTCTTTCTCAGAAGCAGAAAGAACATGCTGCTTTTAATTATGAACACCAGTTTTTCCATTGTCTCTTTTGTTAAAGTTCCATCTATTCAACTATAAGTTTCCAAGGAAATATGAGCATGTACAAGCTTGCATGTGAATTTTTTCTCTCTCAGCTCAGTGTTTTTTCCTGGTGCAAAGTACTCAGGTGTTGTCTTGCTAGATGCTGCACATAAGGTTCTCTGTGACCACAGACCAGTCCACTAGTGGCCACTGGTATGTAGGGCAGTAAGCAAAGAATGGGCTTATAAACCAGAAAGTCAGTCTTTAGAAGTGCACCAGCTTGATCCTTTGGAAAGGTTTTAACTGAAGTTCAATAACAGAAAGATAGAAAGTTTGATAGGCAGTTTATTTTTTCTTTCCCCAAAGTGCAGCAGTGAACAGGGTCCTCTGGAAGGGCACTTTCTAAACAAACGTTCAAAACAGCAGAAGTATGCTCACAACATGCTACAGCAAAGTATGCTCACATACAGAGAGAGAGTAATACAAATAAATTTCATTTTAATTGAATCACAATAAATGACAGCTGTTTCATTATGATGAAATATTGTATTTAGCTTGTAGAATCAGTCTTAAATTTAACTTGATTGATTATACCTGCTTTGGGTGAGTGTGGTTGCATGTATGTGTCCCCATTACAACTTTATTCCTCAAAATGAAGCAGCCCAATTTACTGGGCCTAGACCATGTAAGCATGTACTAGGTGTATTCCCTTATGCGGAAGTGGTGACACTGAATGGTTTTTGGTTTAGGATAATGTAATAAAGTTATTAACTATATTTCTCCCTGTATAATACCTACTTTACCAGATGTGGTCATTAAAATTCACATCTCTGCTTTTGATAATAGTGATTAAAAAAAATAATTAAAAAAATCCCATTTTACCTAAACCCAACTCTCTACTGGTAAGGCCCTTTCATTTGACACGAATGCCTTTAGTAACAAGGTACAGGTACAGCCATAGTCAAATAGCATATGAAATGGAATATCCAGGAAGACCATTTAGTTTTAAAATTACTTAGTTGGAAATTAGATCTGGATAAGAGCCAAAGTTCCTTCACAGTATTTTTTTTTAAATCATCAAGGATAAGAATTAACACTGTTCATTCAAAGCTGTAAAAATACTCAGAATTAACTGCTTCATGGAACTAGACACCAGACACATGACAACAAACTCCTCCAGATGTAATGGAGGGCAGGCAGCTGCTGGTTCCTGTTCCTTCTTCAGCCACATGCTTTTACTGAATGGTTCTTTAAGTGTTTATCAAAAGTGGGAGTGAAGCAGATAGATACCCAAAAAGAGAATAGCAGTGCAGGAAAGTAAGTAAGGACTGACTAATTTAATTCTGAATTTCAATTCAATGCACCATTCACTACCTATGACAGATTTCAGGTATTGTGTGGTTCTCTGGCCATGTGTGAAGTTATTGAGCCTGGTTACAGACAAAATGCTGTAGAGGTATGCACAGGTAGAAAGAGTGTTAATTTGGGTAAAACACCCAGTCATACTGAATAATCTATATCAGTTCTGTCAAATTCCATGTTAGTTATTAGGCAAAAAGTAAATAATTCAAAAGAAAATTTCCTTGTTACAGCTTAAGAACACTTTAAAAAAAGACAGTGTTACACATCTGTACCCATGATAAAGTTTTTTTTTTTTTCTATTAAGAAGCAACATAACATATGACATGCCCTGGAACTGAACTCAAGCAGAAACATACATATGACCTAGATTTGATAGAACTGTTGAGGGTTTAATGTGCAGCAATCAGTATATTTCACTCTAGCCTCCACCCAGCTACCAAAATAAAGTTTAAATGAAGAACAAGTCTAAGTTGCTAGAATTATCTGAGCAAAACACTACATAAATGAACTTTATGTTTAGCTCAGCATGCAAGAAAACACTTGAGAACCTGGAAACAACTTTGGTTTTGTTTCTAAAGACAAAACAGAGTCTGAAGGATACTGGTGGGCAATACTAAGGCTTGAAAAACAAAGAACAGGATAATGCTACAGTTGTAGTGGAGGAAAAAAAAAGTCCTGAGTATGTGGGAGCACAGCAAGTAGTTTGAGAATCAAAAGCATCTGCATTTATATAGATGCTCCAGCTGAGAAGTTACCTTTCAAGTGATTTTTTTTTGTCTCCAACTATTTGGTCACTCTAGAGATTTGAAACAATGAGTTAGGTTTGAGACAAAAAGCTCTGTAAAATCTAACCTGTAGACCACCACAGAAATTTGCAACTCTAAGCTACATGAAGGACAACAACTGTGCTTCAGAATGAAAAGCAAAGATAAAGAAAGTTCAACTTATCTTACTGTAGCACTGCTTGTATCCAGTCTGTGGATTTATGCACCAGGGTTTGCACCTTCAGAGTTCTGAAAGAATCATACCTTGTTGCCTACTTAATGATTACTTCGTAGAAGGTTTTGTGTGACAGAAGTTGAAATCATCATGCTCTCTATTTGGGTAAAAGATCTGAAATAACTGAAAAACTAAATAGTTGTGCCACAGTTTGTTTGACAAGGGAAAGATTATCTTGCCTGATAACACAGTTCATTTGCCCACAAGCAACACAAACTTGTCTTGCGAAAGACACAAATCAGTGCTTCTAGAAGGTGTTTTGCCAATGAATCTATACAGAAGTTACACACCAACACATGTTTGGATGTTTTTCAAGATTTAGGAAGATACTCAAGTTTGGGTGCAAGTGATGGCTGCACTTCAGAGAAGCCTAATCCGAAGGCTGAAAAGATACCATCACCCTTCCAAAGGGAAGCCAGATGATAACATACTGCAGCCAGACAGCTGACGTCAGTCCTTTGGTGTGAAGGCCACTTACTGCAGGTTCTGAGTAGTTATGTCTCAACCAAAAAGCAACATTCTAAGAAGCACTTAAACTGCCCAAAATAGCCCTCTTAGCCTAACTTCTGGTAAGCAATGATTTATTGTTTAGCTAGTTTGCTCTCAAAGTAATTTACCTTCAAGAATCAAATAACACAAGATGTTAGGCAACTCAAGATATTTGGAGGTTAGAGACACATCAACTTTACTGTGGTGTCCTGGGGCTTGGGGTTTTTTTAATGGATTTTTAGTATTACTTCTGTTCGTATATTAAAACAGACTTAAGAGTTAGCTCAAAACACAGGCACGCTTGTTTGAATACTTGTTAGTCTCAACACTCTTTTGTTTAACTCACTAGGAAGCCTATACTAAACCCTAAGAGGTTTTTCAGTAGTACATAGTAACCCATTCCAGCATTTCAAACCAGAAGGAGGTTGAAATTACATTCTTGTTCGCAAGCTACCAGAGCTGACCTACAGAATTCATTGGTCTCATTTGAAGTGATCTCCTTGAAAAAGACTATTTAGCATATGGATCTTATTCCTGCACAAGACACTTGCTAGTCAGATCCTACAGTTTCGACTAACACCTTTCTACACTATCTTGGGCTAGTTTGCTATTGTCAGTAACAGCTTTGAGCTCAATACAGGAAACCTATAATTAAACATAGCTTTTGAGAAACTCTGTGACACTGAATATGGGTGAGCATTATTGTGCAATAGCACCTGCCTATCTAACCTGACTCAAATATGCATTTTTTGATTTTTAGAACAAAATAAACTGTTCCAATTCATAGGCATAGGTTCACCTCTGTGCCTGTGATATGAAAAGGTACTTGAGAGACAAAGGTGGTAATCAACTATCTGAGCAAGACAGATTAGCTGTGCCTAACGATTTAGTTACAGTTCAGCTGTAAAATATACATATTGCACAAGGCAACCAGCTAAAGACATGGGTTTTTCTTCCACGCAGGGTTTGAATGGCCCATTAGAAGTCTTCCAGCTGTGATCGAGGAGAGTTACAAAGACAGACCCGCTGCAGTCACTGGAGAAACTGGTCAGTGGGAGCTGATTGCAAGCGGCTCTAAAATGCCTTATAAGGACCGTGCAGAAAACCTCCGAGCCCGAACACCATGGTTGCTGAACATAAGTCGTGGGTCAAACCGGTACCTATAGAAAGAAGGAGAGTCTGTGTGAGCTACAGTTAGCCCTCAGTGACCGACACTTCTAGAAATAGCTTATTTCTAGAATAGCTCTGGTACAAAGCTACAAGAATAGTCGCTTTCTTAACAGTATGCAGTAGGGACAATCCCTTGACACATTAAAACAGACAAATTATGACAACATGCAACTAAGGAGTTGATAGTCTCCAAAGAAATAAATACTAGCTACAACAGACCAACAGCATACCAGCATGTACAACATTAAGCATTCAGGAGATGTGCTCCAACAGAAAGCTTTGCTGCCTCAAATTACAAACTTACCTAGCACAACTGCAAGGACATTTTAAAATAGTACTTAAAAAAAAAGGTTCGGTGCAAATGGTGACTGACTGCACTTTGAGGTGAGAAGTGCTATTTACTTACAACAGCTGACTATTATGTACAGCTTAGGTCCTGCAGGAAACACTCTTCGCTAACAGAATCTCCAGGAACAATCAGAGCAAGTATTTGGGAAATTCCCACCTACAGAAACATGCAGAGCTTTTCCTTGCTTGCAGGCAAACCTGAGGTC